GGAGATCTGCCTGTGAAAGAATTTGTAGGCTTCGAAAGCGTTTCTTTCCCCACCGTGCTCCCAGTAGTGCTCTAATAGCAAAATGCGTGCACTGCAGAGCTTGAAATGGGGCTGCAGAAGAAGCCATACATCATCGGCTGTAGCTAGTAACACTGAACATAATCATATATTGATAAAGGGCCCTGTCAAGTCCACTATGGTTCCTGGCCATAAAGCCACATGACACTACATTTTCATTATTGAAAATGAAATACACAATGGCCAGCTTGTTCTGTTTCAAGCCTGGAGGTGCTCCTTGAGAAATACTGACTCAATCCCAAGGTTTTACTGCACATTTCCACGATATAATGAAGTTGGCCTTCAACTGGCCCATGCAGGGACTTACTGGGGCTGATTTTTTTATGAACTGTGTAAGCACAAAACATGGAATAAAATGGGTGATTGGTCGCCTGGCTCAGAATTCCCACTAGGCCCTTGTCTGCTGTATGGAAAGGAGGCTGGGTCCATGGGCCTCTTGCTTTAAAGCTACTTGGATGCTGTTTGTACAAAATTATCTTGCTAACAGAGGTGGGATGGTGTTAAAAATAACTTGCACAAAAGAACCTGAATGAATTTATTTATTTATTTATTTATTTATTTATTTATTTATTTATTTATTTATTTATTTATTTGTCCAATTTATATGCCGCCCTTCTCCATAGACTCAGGGCGGCTTACAATGCATTATAGCAATAGCCTGCATACTTTTTTGTATATACCTGCTTATTAGGGCTTTCAGCCTCCCCTAAGCAGTGTTGTTCTATACAAAGTTGGCTTATTGCCCCCACAATCCAGGTCCTCAATTTACCTATCTCGAAAGGATGGAAGGCTGAGTCAACCTTGAGCCTGGTGAGATTCGAACTTGCACTAATTGCAGACAGCTGGCAGCTAAGTGCTAGCACTTAACAGCACTTTAGTCTGCTGCACCACCGAGAATTGTTGTTCTTATTCCCACACATGTTTTTCACTAAATATATGAAATATTAGTTTTAAGATCTTGCATGGTGTTTGTGTGGTGCCAAAGTTCCCATCCATTATTTCCAAATAATGGATAATTCCAAAATTTAAGCCTTAATAAAATATATAGGAGTAAACAAACAGCCAGGTTTAGTCTAGTGATCAAGGCACTAGGCTAGAAAGTGGGAGACTGTGAGTTCTAGTCCCACCTTAGGCATGACAATTGGCTGGGTGACTTTGAACCAGTCCCTCTTTCTCAGCCCACCCCACCCCATAAGAGGAGGGAGTATTAAGTATGTTTGTCACCTTGAGTTGTTTATAAAAATGATAAAGGTGGGATATAAATAAAGTAGATAAATAATCATAATTAAAACAAGGAACAATCAAAGAAAGAGATCATTTTTTCAGGTAAAGCATCTCTCATTTCAAGATTTCTTATTTCATCTCTAGATGAAAGGGATCTGGCAGCAGAAGGGAGGGAAATGTGTGTTGGGAAAATATATCCTGGGATTGTCTCCCATGATCAGTCTCAACCCTAACAGAAGTCAGCAGCAAAGATACTGCTATACAGCCACAGGTGAAGCACAGGGTGCAACAATATGGGAACATATCTAGAAGCAGGTGATGGGGGCTTTTGTGACTGAAAATCCTGGCTTATGAGTCTTCATCACGTAGAACTATACTGTAGAAGCCCAGTGGGTTCCCTGGATAGGTCAATCCCACTTCGCATAGGATTCATGCAGAGCAGTTGATGAGAAAATTCCCCTCCATATCCCAGCCTCCTGAACCTTTGCAATTTTTCTCTAGGCTCATCTAAGCCAAATGGGCAGTCTGAATCGAGTGTAAATTTATTTCTGCTGGTTGAGGAGGTTCAGTTCATGCCGGTAAAGCTGCTTTGAACAACCAAACCAAAGAAGACATGAAACTTTTTTTCAGAGAGAGAGAAAGAAAGAGATACAGGCAGAGGCAGACAAAGAGAGAGAAACAGAGAGAAAGAGGCAGAGAGAGGCAGTTGTTGGTGAAGGGACTGTTGATTTAATCAGAGAGCAACAGACAAGTTCTTAGCATTTCTAACATTGTGGGTCCTCCTGCTTGTCAAATGTTTTTTTTTGCCTTCCATCTTTCACAATGTGAAGAAAAAAGCATCTGGCTATGCTGAGTCTTGATGTAGAGCACAGTCCACAGAGAGATTAAGTTCTTCGAATCAAGTATACAGCCTCTGAAGCTTCATTTCAGTCAAAGTAACAATCCGTGTCACATCTAATTAGGTACTCCATCTTGAATTCCTCAAATATGAACAAAAAAGTTCAATATTTTAATTAACTCAGAAAGCAGCATTGAACTGGTTAAATCTGTTGACCTGAAAAAGGATGAGGGAGCACACACTGTTCTGTCTTGAGCTCCTGAATGAAAGGCAGGGTAGAAGGCTAATAAATAAATACAGTTGCTTCTGGACCTATTGGTTGTACCATCTATCATCAGTTGATGGCTTCAACCATCACGTCTCTAAAGCCAATTCATGACCTCCTCTGTAAGCCACTCAATGGTGTTCCATTTCATATTGGATTCCTGTTTTGTATATCTCTCAATGCATCTTACTCTTTCTTTGGCACCCACATCATAGACAGTGAAGTTTAAAAGGGAATAACATAAAAAGAGACGTAACATTGCTCTGAGCAGGTGACATCTGCTGCAGCATGAGATATGTTTTAGGGAACTGTAAAGAGGCAGAAGCCAAACAGAAAAATAATAAAGTGGCTTTTAAGTAAAACCAGCAACAACTTGGATTTATATAGTACTCCGTATGTTCTGCATGAATAATGCCCTAAGGCATTTTAGAGGGAAAGAAGGTAAGGAGCTGGCTGGGGGAAAAAAAGAAGAAGAAGATATATTGAAAAATAAGCAGAAAACCCTTTAATTTTTTAGTAGGCATCTACTCTTCTTATTAAAGGTAGCTTTTAAGTTGTAGCATCCAGGCATTGCTCAGGGCCAACCCTGTCCTAAGGGAGAGTGAGACAGCTGCCATGGGGGAGCAGATTGGAGTGTTGTGAAAGGACAGCACATTCTTCATGACTTAATTATTGTGGGTTTTGTTTTGGGGGAGGATTTTTTGCTGACAAAGGCATGAGAGAAGGATTTTCCTGTCTCAGGTGTCCACATGACATGGCTGGCATTAAGGATTGTGCTCTTTGGTTAGCAGAGACAAGGGGTGGGGGCTGCATCAAGTTTCCTGTGCCCCTTGGTCCTTCCCTGGCATTGTTCTGTGCTGGGGATGGATGCACTGAGCATCCTGAACAAATGAAGGTTGTTTTCTATTAAAAAGAAAGAATGAAAAGTGAAACAAAAAGGGGTGGAAAAACCAAATACTTACACTTGTCTGGTATCTAATGTTTGGCTTAGGTATTTGGAGCTCAAACTCTTAGAGATGGGCAGGATTTTGTTCTTTAGTATTGAAGCTTGAAGCACATTTTGATGCCATGGAGAAAAGAGGGATGCTATGTTATTATTAACTCTTCTGGAGCATTGCTGAGATTTTGGATTGGGTGGAGTGAAAATAGAGAAAGGAGGCAGATGAAGGGGCAGGCTGATCCCATGGGTTATTCTTCTCTTTGTTTTCACTGTAATTCAGGGATCCGCAAAACTGCAGTTCTCAGTAAAAGGGCAATTTTGGGTGGATTTGCTTAGAAGTCACCTGAAATAAGCAGGCAAGAGAAATGAAGGAGAGATTCGGCATCAAAGGCACAAAACAAATAACCTTGGCACAACCGCCTGTCCTCAGTTTTGTTTAATATTGTTTACTACAATTCATCCCTGATCTAAGGTGTTCTCTGATTTCACTAGAGAACTAAAGAATAAAACAAACCGTCATTTCTTTCAAATTAATATTTTATTCATTCATTTTGCGTGACATTGTAAGGTTCTCAGAAAAGAGTGGATTTAATGGAAGAGAATGTCTGTAGCTAAGGACTGAACGGGGGCGTGCTTGGTGCTTTCAGAGTGCTTGCCGATTTGCTTGCAGATGCTTCATTACCCAGGTAGTAGGTAACATCATCAGTGCAACCAGCTTGCTGCCTCTTTATATGTAGTAGCTTTTGATCTGCCAATTTTGGTGGGGGCGTAGTTTCCTTCTTGGTGGTTCTTTGATTACTCTTGTTTTCTGCCTGATTGCTTGTTTGGCACTGACAACCCTGCTTATCTGTAGGTGGGCTGCTGGAGGGGATGCATTCTAGTCTTTCTGTTTCCTTCCTATGCTTTTTATTGTCTTTTGAATGGTATGCAAATGTGGTTTATCTCTACAGCAGTGCTGGGTTGCTCCCAGTTTGTCTGGTTCTTGCAAACTGGTAGTAATGGCAGCGGGAGGCTCCGCCCACTTGCCCGGATGTCATCATGAATGAGCTGCGCATGCACAGAAGCTTCTGCGCAAGCGCAGTGAGCGTGCGCTCCCGTTGCGAATTGATAGCGGAGATAAGTAGAACCCACCACTGGTCTACAGGTAATCCTTGCTGAGCACCCCTTTGTTTGGTGACTATTCAAAGTTGTGCCAGTGCTGAAACACTGGTACTTACAACCAGTCCTTGAAGTTCCAGCCATTACTCCATCCTTGCAATCATGTGATGATGTGGGCCCTTGACAACCAACTCACACTTATGAGAATTCCTGTGCTCTACGGTCATATGATCACCATTTGTGACCTTCCCTGACAGCTTCCCATAAGCAATGGGGAAGCCAGCAGAGAAGTTTGCAAGTCACTCTGGCAAATCTTGCCTGCCTAGCAGTTCCACTCCAGGCTGGAAAGTGCACTTCTGCAACTGTCCATACACCACCACCCCCAGACCAAAATTGCATGTGCCACTTCAGCCACCTGTGCACCATTCCCCACCCAACAGCAGCCACCTCTGGGCCTAAAATTGCTTGTGCACATAGCAGTCCCATTCCTCCTCCAAGCAGGCATCCTTTGACTCAAAATTGCACACCACTTCCCTCACCCATACATCCTCCCTCACCTGGCAGCAGCCACTCATCTGCCTGCCAGCCTGCTTGCAAGTTGTCTGGACTTGCAACTTCTTGCTGGCTGCTCCACTGAATCTGGTTATTTGAAGGAGGAGATCCTCCTTTAACTACCCAGGATCCTGGCTTAATGACAGCAACGGGACTGCCAGGATTGACATCCCTACGTGTAACGCAGTCATGTAACATTGTGTTTTATGACCACACTGCTTAGTGTTAGAAATTCTGTTCCCAATTACTGTTTCTGAGATGCTTTTCAGCCATGGGAGGGTTTTCCTTTTCATAGGTTTTAGTGATTGTACTGTATCAGGTTGTGTAGTCAGGTACTTTTTGATGAAGCTGCATATCTATCCTTATTGTTGGAAGATGGCGGCTTTCTTTCTTCTTTTTTTACTGTTATCCCTGCGAAGTGGTCAAGTCAAGAAGTACAACCAAGACTACTAACTCCATCTTTATTGTTAGGTTAACAAAATCTTGCAAGATTGAAAGCATTTCTCCTCTCCTTCCCTTTTACTCTCTGGAAATCTAGGAATGGTCCCCTTTGAAATATTTCTCATGCTGTTCTCCCTTCTGTGGGCTGAGATACACGCTGGTTGTCCAGTCTGTGACTCTTTTTCCTGTCTCCAAAGATCATCCCCACAGGTCAATACTCCGGTGTTCCCAGTTGCTGTAGTATGTTTATGCTGGTCTGAATAACTTTCTTGCAAAGGTCTTCATATAGGAGAGTTATTATTTTGATAATGGAGCACTTGGTTATCATGGATTGCTATCAAATCCCAGACTTGGATAGAATTGGGTTTCTAGATTATTTATTTCATTCCCACCTTTATTATTTTTACAAATAACTCAAGACAATGAACTTATCCAACACACTTTCTACCAGGGGTGAAATCTAAATTTTTTTGCTACCGGTTCTGTGGGCGTGGCTTAATTAGTGGGCAGGGCTTGGTGGTAAGGTGACTGGGTGGGCATGGCCAAGTCAATGTCACTTCTTTGCCCTTTTTAACCTACAAAACACAACACAACACAACTGGCTCACCCACAATGTAAAAGCAGCTGTGCTAGACCCAAAACGGCCCCTGCAACAAGCAGGAACCTCACACAGCCACAAAAAGCCCCCAAAATCAACTTTCACACTTTACACACACAAAATTCCACATACAGCTTTGTGAGATTTTGTGTGTTTGTGTAGTTAGAGTGAAACACTACAGAAACACACTAAATCTCAGAAAGCTGCACAAATATTATTTTATTTTATTTTATTTTTATTTTTATATGAAAGCAGCTAAATTTAAAACTTCCTAAACTTTAAATGGCTAGGTATAAAGAAAGAACAACTAAAAAAAAACCCAATTAACTATTTTTTTTAAAGCTCCCAAAGGGGGAAAAAACTTACCCAATAGAACAGGAGTCTCCAACCTTGGCAACTTTAAGACTTATGGACTTCAACTCCCAGAATTCCTCAGCCAGCTTTGCTGGGAGTTGAAGTCCACAAGTCTAGGCAGGAAGGCAGGCAGGCAGAAAGAGCTGCTCACCGATGAGCTTGATTGCAGGCAGAGAGATTCAGTTGCTTGCTGATGCATGGATTGGGATTGTCCTGCGATCAGCAGCTAAGGTAAGCAAGCTGGAGGTAGGGGAGGAGGGAGAAAAAAAGAAACTTTTTTTTCTTTTACATGGCTCTGACGATCCAAGCTGAGTTGCCTGATTAGCAGGCAACTCAGCTGGGATGTCAGAGCTTGGCTGGTCAGAGCCATTTACAAGGGAAAAAAGGCTCTGATGATTGCGGGGCTCAGCTGGGCATGGGGGGCGGGGGCAGGGATTTTTGCCACTGGTTCTCCGAACTGCCTGCTGCCATCACTACCTACTCACCCGAGCCGGTCCGAACCAGGAGCATTTCACCCCTGCTTTCTACCTCCTATTTTCTCCTGTGAGGTGAGTTAGGTTGAGAGAGAGAGAGTGACTAGCCCAAAGTCACCCAGCTAGCTTTTGCTGGGTGTGTCCTCCTTCCACTGGTGAGTAGTATCAGGACTTTCTGATAGCTAAGTGCAGAATACTACAGAGATCCAAATACCAGATGTAGAAGTAGCATCTTCGGGATGTCTTTCAGAGTGTTTAAACTTGCCTCTCAAAACTTTCTGAGAGGTGTAAATGCTACCCTCCTAAAATTCTCATCGCTCTAGGAAATAGATGAACATAATTATTCCCCATGCTACCTCCATTTTATTTTGGAATATTTTTCACAGCCATTCACTCCCAAGCACAGGGAAATTGTTTGCTTGTTCAGCCAAGTGATGAGCTGCTGACTTTATTTGTTAATAACTCCAGTTGCACACACACCCCTGGCTTGTGCTATATTTGTCTGGGGATGCAACCATGGAATAATCCCTATTGCCCTCGGTGCAACTTACTTCTCAGTAAACAGCCATCCAGGTCTGGCAGATCACAATACTTAAAAGAACACATTTGCATGAGAATTGAAACTGCACAATGGAAAAGACAAATACGTTCAGAATTTTTATGTCCCCTTATGGCTTGGCATTTTGCTGGGGCTTAAAGGTCATATCTGTCAGGAGTGGATGTGGGGAACAGACCTTCACCCTTTCTCAAGTAATTGGGCATCATGCTGATAGGGAGAATAGAATATGCTATGAACAGCTTTTATTAGACATTTATCCAGGCTTTAATGATAGACAGTTTCAGGACAAGGCCTCATATTATGCACAAGTTTGTTATACCAGTATAAATACATAACTCTTTCCACCAGAAGCCATGTATTTTGCAATATTCTTGGCCAGATGCTAACAATGAAAGTCAATAAAATTCATCAGACACTTCCATTTTATTAGGCACATCAATCGTCCTAAAAATCTACTCACTTAAAATGCAGAGATTTGAGGGTAGATCACTACCAACTTCCTTCTAATACAGGTCTGTTTCATATATGGGAAATGTTTTGGTTCCAGTCTGAAATTATTCCCTGGACAACTTTATTGTTTAACTATTGATCTCTGAAATTGAGGCCTGTGATACACCTAAAATGGTATAGGGTTTCCTGCTTGAGCAGGAGTTTGGACTAGAAGACCTCCAAGGTCCCTTTCAGATCTGCTGTTCTGTTAAAAAGGAGACGGGGCTTCAATCATTTGGTTTCAGCAGCTCTCTTGATTTTGGTTAGATGCACCCTGAGGTACGCTTAAATTAGAGCAGGCAACTGGCCACTCATATTGGTTCTGATATCCATTCTGTCACACTGGGAGGTCACCACAAGTCAAGCAGACATTATTTTCAGAAAATAATAAGTCAGATAGATTTTAACAGAATAACAGAGTTGGAAGGGACTTTGGAGGTCTTCTAGTCCAACCGTATACCATTTCAGATAAATGATTGTCCAATCACTTCTTAAAAACTTCCAGTATTGGAGCGCCCACAACTTCTGGAGGCAAGTTGTTCCACTGATTAATTGTTCTAACTGTCAGGAAATTTCTCCTTAGTTCTAAGTTGCTTCTCTCCTTGATTCATTTTCATCCATTGCTTCTTGTCGTGCCCTCAGGTGCTTTGGAGAATAGCTTGACCCCCTCTTCTTTGTGGTAGTCCCTTAGATATTGGAACACTTTTTGACCAGGGGAAGTAAATAAATTAAATAATGTCATAAATAAAATTTTAAATTAACACATTTATAGATTTTCATGGAGTCTGCAGCAAGCTGATTGCTTCTTAACTATGTATGTAGTGTTAACTGTATGCCCAGCAACTACTAATATGGTATGTACTGTTCTCTTTTGCATCCTGTCTGCTTCTTTATTTCATTGCAATTAACAAACTCCATCCAGCCCATTTTAAAAGCAAGTTGTTAACAGAAAAGATTATCTTAAAAGCAGATCAAAGGAATCATGTAGACAATTACCTGATTATTGACTTCACAGCAAAAGAACTGAATTGATTACTCAGAATATGTTCCATACAAACAAATCTTCTTGTATTTCAGAGAATAATTCACCATAGGGAAAAAGCACTAGGCAACTCTAAAAAATGTAACAGCTTGACAAAGAAGTAAATTAGGCTTATCATTCTACCATTTTGAAAAGGATTAGAAACAAAAATGAGAGATAAAGTAAATGTTTTTCATCCTGGACATAATCCCAGAAGAGTAATCTTTGTGGTTCTTCATGGCAAATTATAAAAACAGTGCCAAAGATTATAATTTGACTCTAGCTGTGCTTTATATTTTAATTATTTTTCGTGCCACATAGACAAATAACTCTTTCAGAAATGCACATAAATGAGGTGTATTACATTTGGAAACAGGAAATAAATAGCTGGAGTAAAAAACAAAGACATCTGTTTTATGATGCAATGTGAGGTGTTATTGGTGTTTGCTATGGATTCAGCTATTTCATATAGGAAGCTATTGTTTAGCTGCAAGGGAATTATCTGCTGTGGATCAGGGGTTTTAGGGGACCTGAAATGTTTGGTACATGGCACACCCGTAACCACATGCTGGCTTTCTTGGTATTCTGGGGTGAACACCAGGACATTGCTCTCAAAGAAAAAAAAAATCAGCTTGCTAAAGTGTAGCCATGATCTTCTACAAAGTCTAATATGATGACAAGCAAATCTTGAGGAAGAGAGCAGCAGGTATAAATTTCATACGTGTGGCATTAATTTGAGACCTTTAGTTTAAACAGTAACTCAGCAACTGTTCTTTACCCACCCAACAAATGTTGTTGTTGTTGTTGTTGTTGTTGTTTTGTTTTAAGCAGGCTGTGAAAAAAACAGGCTGGACCTGAGCTGTTTAGCCAAACACAAGAGAAAAGCTAACACAGAAAACTTTCTGGATGTTCAAGGTGTGGGTGTCTGGAAAAGAGTATCCATTGCTTCTGGATTAAGCAAAAGACCACCATTATGCTTTTGAAAGTCTGCAAATGAATAGTTAGCATCTTCTAATGCAGGGGTCTCCAACCTTGGAAACTTTAAGACTTGTGGACTTCAACTCCCAGAATTCCTAACTTTGCTGGCTGAAGAACTCTGGGAGTTGAAGTCCACAAGTCTTAAAGTTGCCAAGGTTGGAGACCCCTGTTCTAATGTTCAAAACAAGACAACCCATTGCGAGACCAGAATGATTAAATCAGTAGGGTGCCAAAGAATTAATTTTAAATTCAAGTCACTTTGAACTGTTTCTTCTGTAATCTTAA